ACATAATCAGGTCTAATTTCTAATGTATTTACTTTGCCGAGACTAGGGCTGCTCTGGTTACATCATCCAGCTCATCCATATATGGGCATTGAGATTTTTGAACATTTCTAAGCACACAAACTACAGGGAGGTGCTCATCTCTGAGGAATGCCTTAAAACTGAAAGCCTTCTTCATCATATCTGTTCATGGCATGACTTGGATACATAGGATCCAGATACAGTTATAATCTTAGATATAGTGATCTTTTTCTCCTCTGATAAGGAGAAAAAGAATGATACCCTCTGAAAGGTGAGACCTCTCTTAAACACGATGCAACAAGGCTGGCTCAATCTGCAGAGACCGCGAAAAGCCTGTGTAGTTGAGACAGCATGTAAAGTTTCCTTTACATGGCGGTGTCCTGTTTTGCACTCATGTTGTTTTTATTTTTACTTTATGCCTAGATACTGGTGCAACCAATGTCCTTCTCATTGGCTGTATTCTTGGAGGATTCTTTGGCGTCCTGTTAGTGGCAGCTTTGTTATACACCTTCCTGGTCAAATCTGAGTCCTTCCAGGAATGCTTCGGTGAGTAATGGATAAATTTATTAGCACAAGAAATGACTGAGAAGAATAAATAGACTGACAATTAATATACAATGTGTCTGTGCTTTTAGGTGGGGAAGAAACCGAAGATGATATGATCACTATTGTATCAACGGAACAAAAGAAGAAATCAAGTCAGGATGTGACAGACTGAAAATAGATACACAAACTGTTTCTATTTTGTTACCAGGCTAACTAAAGTGAGAGCTGGACTGAGCCATGGTCTGGAGATAATGCTGTTGCAAATGTTTAAAATCAATACTTTTACTGAAAGTGCTCATAGATATGACGAGACAATCTGTTCCTACACTTTGATCTGTTCAATTTAGATGCTTTGAATAATTTCTTCTCACGCTTTAAATTATTCGTGACCACAAGCCAAATAAATCTTGCTTACTTACTTAAAATTAGTGTATGTATGTGTGTAGAGAAAAGAAAAATCAGGCAGACAAAGAGCAATGAGCTCATTTACATCTAAATAAGTCGTTCTCTTAGCTTGAAAAACAACACTGGTATTTTATAGCTGTTTTATTTTGGAAATATTATAATTCCACATTTATGCAGTGCAACGACGCAAAAATCACCTGTACCAATTCTGATTACTTATTGAAAGGACGATGTGATTTTTTTTTCATAAGTGACGCTAATTATCAAAGACTATGGGAAAAAAATCATTACAATCACATGATCATTAAAATCTAATTATAATAAACATACAGGCCACTTAAACTTGAAATTGTGATTGCAAGTAATTTAGTATCACTTGCTGTTTTTGAATCTGTAAACATGTTTTCATCTCAGCTGCAGGTGGAAGGAAAAGGAAAGAAATGACGGTGCATTGTAGCCAGTCGGTGCCATGTTTTACTACATGGCACTGACATTTTTCTCTCTCTGCTCCATTTATGCCTGCTTTTGAAGGCTTTCAGCCTGACAATGGGCTGCTCACTAATGCAGGAACTACATGTGCTTTTAACAGTAGGTCAGTTTGTCCACTTGAGGGAAGCAGATGTAGATGTTGATGTACTGGAGTTTATTGAATGAAGTGAGCATCTATATTTATATGTTGCTTTTTCCATAAAGACAGCACAGAGCAGAGTTGCTTTAAGTTTTTACAGCTCAGGGTGTATCACTCTTTATGCTTTGTGTGTATGTGGTTATTTGCCGTCTATGCATTCTACTTTAATTTTTTCATATATTAAATATATTTGTATGTTTCTTTACATATATCTTGCTGCAGCTGCTCACACTTTTCATGAGACACACTGATGTTAAAAATAAAAGCTGAGTGCACTTTAATCCAGCCCTTACTGATTTTTTTTCTCCATATTGAGCTGTTTGATTCGCTCTGTGGGTCACTATGTAATCTTGGGTCATTAGTTATTAGAGGAGCAGGTTAGGTGCTCTAACTCCTAATCAATATATCAAAAAATCATTCTATGACCATGTTTTTTGTAGAATCCAGGCCCAGAAAAACCTAAGAAGATAAGTTAGATAAAAAACTAAGTTTGATACGGCCTTTCGTTGTGTTTAATGAGATATCTGGATGTCTATGTCTATGACATTTGTTGTAGATGTAGGCTTGATTTTCTTCTGTAGTCTGTAGGAAGTTTACCATCAGATTTTTTTTCCTTCTATAATGTTGTGCTGGTCAGACCTTCTTGTATTCACTTTAGAACAAGACACCCGGATGAATTGTCCCTGCAACCACGAGTCAGTAATGCGATTAGACATCACAATATCTGGCGCAACATCTGCTCCCATTTCTTTAGTTGAATCTATGAAAAATTCCACATTTTTATACAACAAATACAAATTGTTGTATAAAATCTGATTTTTCTACCTATAACTGCACATCACTTTCATTTGCAGTCTTGGTTCTAGTTAAAGTGAACTTTTATATCAATCCGGCTTCAACAATGCAGATGGTTTTAGAGTATTAGACTGTACTCTCTTCTCTTCTCTGTTTATATTCAAAATTAAGAAAGGCAGTCCACAGCTGATCCGCATTATGAATTATGAAGCTTCATGATGATAACTGATGGATTTTCCCTTCACATGTTTGGCTCATTATCCTGAGTCAGTTAAATATTTCAGAACGGCCGACCATACCAAAGGTTTTATTTTAACAGATCCAGTTTGAAAGTCCTTTGCTCTTTTGCCTTCTGCTGATATCTTCATTCATCATTTCATCATCTTCTTCTGCACTTCAGTCATTTGGACCAATAACTAAGACTCATGAAAGGGACAGAGGTCAGTAGCCTGTCATATTGAATAAGATTCAAATTAAGACATTTACCTAACCTTAATTTGCCAACTAAGCCCAGAGACTGGCTGGATTTGAATGTAGAAAATCTCTTTGGGGCTTTAAAACACAGAGCATCAGAGCCTTTTACTCCAGCACACATGGCTGCATTTGGGTCCACTTTATGTGCTTACTTAAAATTTGTTTTTTTACGATTCCCATTTTCTTACATAAGGAGCAAATGAGATCAGGCCACTTTTACTGTCATGGTTTTTCTAGTAGAAAGAAAGGTCTGATCCTTTGTTAGACACACCTACATTTTATGAAAACTTTAGGGAAAGATTGATGTGGAGGCAGAAAAGAAAGAAAATAAAAATCCTTCTCACATCCACAAATAAGTCCAATGTAGAATCTCACTCACTCAGCAGTCTTTCCAGGTACATCTCTTGTCATCCCCAGCGTGTCTTATCTTTTTTAGATGGAGTGTATTTGTCAGGTTGAGTGGGCAGTCTATTTATTATTTATTTATTTATTGCCTGCTAAAAGAGAATATGACAGAAAACGTTTCTGAAAGTCTCAGAAACACCATGAGTGATCAAAAAAAAGGTTCTGGTCTAAACAGTTTCTTAGTGACTTAGTGAGTGATTTTGTGGGATAGTGGAAAACTCTGGACACATTTCGATACATATTATACAGCAACTCGGAGTAGATTACATTAGATGAAACTTTATTAATCCCTCGGGTGGATTCCTCCAGGAAATTCAGTAGAAGTTTTGAGCTGTAGCTCAGAAGCTTGATGGTATAAAAACCTGGAGATGCTGGGGATTGAACCCAGGACCTCAGACATGCAAAGCATGTCCTCTACCACTGAGCTATATCCCCTGACAATATAGTGAAGCCTGGGAATGAATTTAAACTGAATGAGACAATGGAAAGCGTTCTTGTATGTTTTCAAGGCAGTTCTCCCAAATGTCGTCTGGAATACATTCTCCAAAGTAATTTTCCCGCTTAGCAGAAGAGGAGGCGCCTGCAGACAAGAGAGCGTCAGGTAGGATTTTAACATATTTTTCTACATGCTACTCTCTATTATAGTCTCAAAATTAATTTATACCTGACGTTACCTGCAGGTAGCAGGGATAAGACGTTACTTTGCAATCCCTATTTCCTTTGTAACTGCTTGAAAGAAGCAAAGACCCCCATTCATGCAAATATTGTATAAATATATACCAGATTTGGTGGGGGTTTTAGCAGTGGGTAATGCTAGGGATACAGGGTTAAGATTGAACTAAGATTAACTCTGTTTCAAGCTCCATACGAGACTGAATATGATCGAGCTGTTGTTAAAACCTCACTTATTAGTAGTAGTGGGAGTTAACTGGATTGCACACTTATTAAGAAAGAAATTAGACATTCTCAAACAGATGCAATTAGTTTCCCAATTAGAGAGAAAGGAAGAGTTTTCCCAAACTATTTCAACAAATATAAAAGTACAAGAGTACAACAACAGGGCCATTTGAAATGTATTTGAAATTGTGCAGAGTTCCTATTGGTAAGCTGGATGTTGAGGTGTGTGTAGGTGGCACTGATCACATAGCTGGTTGCTATAAAAGCAGGGTGATTGCTGTTCAGCAGCCACGGATCACATCATTAACTGACTGACAGCAAATACAATCTCTGAAAACTGATCTGTGTGGCTTGTTGTCCAAACAGGAGCAGATATGGGGAAAAGCAACTTTGAACTGGCACTTTGCCTCGTACTCATTGCTGCCTGTGGCTTACAAGGAAACATTGAACGTGACACACAAATTTTTATTGGGAAAAAGAACTGGACACAAGCAAGACTATTCTGCCAGACACATTATGTTGACTTGGCTACTTTGGACATGATAAATATGAAAGTTATTATACCATTTTTGGTCCAAAGGAATATCCCAAACACTTGGATTGGTCTACTCAGAGATCCTGAAGATGACTCATTCTGGAAGTCTATAGATCTAAGGTGAGTGTCAATTTTGAAATGACCTTTATGTCAATATCCATGTCTGTTTATGTAAATATGACAAAACTGAGTTGCTGATTTTGAGATGATTGTTGTGTTGATTTCAGAACAGGTGAAGGTGTCTCAGGTGATGACCTCTCACATACCAGCAAATGGGCCTCTGCACAGCAGGACTACTGTGCAGTTGTAGGAGATGACCTCATGTGGTACAGTGCACAATGTTCAAGTATCAATAATGTCTACTGTTCCCGAGGTGATGTAATCCAGTATCACAGTGTTATGCTCAGTTGGTATGACGCTGTAAAGTACTGTATGGAAAACTATGGTTACCTAGCCACTGTCACCCAGGTAAACTCAGGTGATGTTGACAAACGGGGCTGGATTGGACTGTATCGAGTGGGAGGCAAGACCTGGAACTGGACGGGTAGTTTAGCATCTAGCTACAGAAACTGGGCACCAGGACAGCCCCTCACTGCAGACTGTGGCTCTTTGCATGCTTTTATTGGAGGCTGGGTAGGCTATGCTTGCTCTGAAGAGTTTAACCCTTTTTGTTTTGTTGACAACCTGGTGGTGGTGAATGAGAACAAGACATGGGAGGACGCCTTGATTCACTGCAGAGAGATGAAAGCATCATGTGCTGGCTGTACGTACGACCTCCTGAGCCTGACCGATGTCTCTCAGTACAACTATGTCAGAGACAGGATCTACAGAGCAACCACTGATGAGGTTTGAGTTTATTATTTTTGAATTATAGATGTTCTTCTAAATGCATCACTTGTTCATAGATTCTGCATTAAACACCAGAGGAGTTCACGTTCAAGTGGCTTTAGTCTTTCTACTAGTTCAGTGCTTTAAGGCATAAATTCCCGGCTGTGCTGTTTAGATGTCCTTTCATGTCCAATGCGTTGAAAATATATACTGTACAAAACAACTGCATTGGGGGAGGGGGGGGAAAGGAGGGGGGGGGTGTAAATTTAAAAAAGGATCAATATTCATTTCAGGAAAGGCTTCACTAAAGCCTCGGTAATGAGTATTTGTGTCCGGCTTAATTTGCAAATAGAAATCTCTTATATCAACACTTCCACAGCCAGGACTGACTCTCCCAGTTTTGTCCTGTGTTTCTCAGGCTTGGATTGGCTTGCGCTTCCTGGGAGGAAAATGGTTTTGGTTAAATGGAGACAAACCAGGTCCCAAAGATATGCTGCCGGACTGTCCGTCCAACTGGGAACACTGTGGGACTTTGTCCAAGTTTGACACAAACAGCACGTGGATGATCAGGGACTGCGCAGATAGAAGAAACTTTGTCTGCATTGAAGTGACCCCATAGTGAATGAAACTGGCAGCTTAACATCAAATGCGATAGTGATGGTTGTTCTATCTGTACGTTAGAGTTATGCACTATTCAAATCTATGCTAAGTGTGATGCTAATATTATTTATTAATCCTTTCATTGTAACACACATTATACCATATACATATGTTATGATCTCTGAAAACAACGGTGTACTCTGAGGTTGTAGATACTTTAAAACGAGAAGTGCAGATCAGGCAAGATCAGTTGCATCATTAACACGAAATCATTACATGGCTTTAAGCTACAGTGGCAAAGGCTCCTTTAATGACAGATATATTATTCAAGGACCTTAAATGACTTTAGATGACTTCTTAAAAATGAAATCTTCTGCCTCTATTAATAAACTTCTTGCAAAGGCAAAAATTATGGGCTCAAAATGTGGTCATAAATATTTTGTACTTGTAAATCAGGATTTGTATGTGTAAAAAAAATTTGTGTGGTCTTAGCCAAAAAAAACCCTGCAAGTTACAAGTACGAATTTTGACCCTGTTTTTCTTCCTTTCATCTGATTGGTCAATGTCATGTCAATCACAAATGTAACCATCCAATCAGAGAAAAGATGGGTTTGGCTGTCAGAGGTTCACTTTTTTGAACTGCAGGTTCTTGAAGGGTAATACAGTTTGAAGCTGGAGGATCTCTATATAAATATCCAATGGCAGCTAGGTCCCCTAACTTTCAGCAGCTG